TTTTTGTTTTGCTTGCTTGTCAGGAAATTAGCACAGCTTTCATTGATTTACTGGCCACGAGTCGGACTAAAAGCACTCAGGTGTTGGGTAAGGGGGGATATGGGGGGTGGGTGGGTGGCGTTACCAAATACATAATTTGTGTGTAGGTGATAACAGAGCGACAGACAGGTTTTTAGCTCGCCTGTTTGTAGCCCAAAATCATTTTTGATTTATGACATTTTGGAGCAATTTCGAAACGCGACAAAACACACACAAAAAATGAAGAAGAGAAAAAACCAAAACCAAAGCGAGAAGCAAGCAGCAAGAAGCAAGCAGCAAGCAGAGAAGTGAACAGTGAACAGCATTTTCAATGTAGCTGGCGATTAATACACATCGCGGTCGCAGCTGCCCAATGACATCAAAAAGATGCTGCCCAGACGAACAACAAACAACAAACAACCGGAAAAGATACACAGATACATTCTGTATCTTTTGCCTACATAGTTAGTTAAGTATCTACAACATATATATACATATAAATATATATTTATATGTGTGTGTGTGTGTGTGTGTGTGTGGGGCAACCTGTGCAAGATTCTTTTCTGCTGTCTTCTGTCTTCTGATCGATCGATTAGCTGCGCTGTCTGCTCGCTGGCTTTTAGCAGATATCCAGCAACAACAGTTACAACAACAACAACAAATGATACAACAACAAAAGATACAACAACAACAACAACATTCAGCTTGCCACACGGTGGAAAGAAAGCACAGGGCGCTACTTAAATGTCCATAAATTATAATTTATTGTTTGGCCTCTGCGCACGGGCATTAGAATTAGAAAGCAAGTTAGCGTGTAGCAGACTAGAGTGTGCCCGACTAGCAGATACTCTGTGAGCACAGCTATTAGCTGAATAGTATTTTTTGTTATACTTTTTTAGAGCCCATAGCTCTTTCATCAGTCCAACTTTCAATTCGTCTAATGTGCTATGTTAAATATATATATTTAATATATTTCTATATTATTTTTTAATTTAATATTCTACTTGGCTTACTCATTTTTTATTTTATATCATTTAATTTTAAGCTTTAAATATTGTTGTGAATTTAATTTAATATTTTTAAGTATTCGTTGTATATCATTAAACTTACAACTTTTATTTTCTTTTTAAAATTAATTTAGAATTGATCAATTGTTCATATTTGGTTGTATATCGTTTAATTCAAAACGTTTATTGTCTTTTTATATTTTTAATTTAAAATTTGAATAATTCAAAACCCTTTTAAAAATTTGTGGACTTTTTCTAGTCCACATAAAAATATGCTTGGTAAAATCGATATTTCTTAGCCGATCTTAATGGAGTGTGTACACTTGGTGAATATATATTAATTGGAGGGATATAACTAACTATAACTATAACTCATTATATATATATATATATACTATACTTGTGTGTTTTATTGTCTTCAATAAACCCTGTTAATTAACTTTTGCAGTTATAGGGTATAAAAGCGAGAGTCGTTTTTTAGATGCTTGGATCATGGATGGATTCTGATATATATATAATATATACACATATATTGATATGTATATATAGTTATATTTTATTTATGTAAAGCTTCAAACCACAACACTTGACTTACAAATATTTTGTGCACATTAATAATGATTAACGCACAATTTGAACAGCATTCAAAATAGCTGCAACAAATTTACTAAATAAATCTAAAAAGTGGTTAAAAAAAGAGCTGAGATTATGCTGAAAGCATAGACAAACAGAATTGAAAAATTTCATTTAACATTTCTTTACACAAAATCAATCACACGAAAACTTTTGTAAAATTCCGTGTAGGTGTTTTTTGAGTTTTTTGTGTTTTTTGCTTTAAATTGATGGCATGCAAAGAAATGTATACCTATTTGTTATGGCTATAAATACGATATATTAGCTATTGGCTGACAAGTTAAGAAACTGCCCTCGTTTGCCAGGGGGGGAATGGGGGTTTTCTCCGTCCCCCGCCTCGTTGAACATGTGCAATTAATCCGTATGTTTAACGCTGCTTATTAATTGTCACAGCTCTCAGTCGAATTTGTGGATGGAACGTGGGCAGTTTGGAATCGTCTGTCTATATTGGATATTGCGCCATAAATTTGTAGCTCATTTTCAGACGTTTCTTTTTTTTTTCATTCGATTTTCCAATTTTCCAATTTTCCATTTGAATTTGTTTTTATGCGCTGCATTTGTTAACACCTTCACTTTAGTCGAAAGCGCTGATGAGCTGCGCCCACTGACAGCTTTATGTTTTGTTTACACTTTGATTGGCTGCCCAGCAAATTGTTCAACAACTTTTCGTAATGGCCCGAAACCAAACCAAACACAAGCGAGGCAACACAGAAAGAAAACAACAACAACAAAGCAACATACCCTCCATCAATCAATGGCCAAAAGCAAAAACAGGTTTTGGCCCAAAGAAGAGCAAAGAAGACGGCGACAGTTTTCTTTTCTACCTGTGCGCATGTCACACACACAGGTGAGTTACCCTAAATAGAGGTGTGTGTGTGTGTATTGGTGTGTGTGTGTGTGTTTTGTAGGAGGCGCCTCAGCACTTGACTCTCAGTAGTAGCTGCCTCTACCTGCCATCAACTAATCGGCATCTTGGCCAAGGCAACGAACCTCGTTTCTTGCCAACAAATCAAATTCCAATGCGTTTGCAATTGGTCGTCTTTCTTGATATGCAAACCAAACACAACAACGACAAATCACCCGCATACTCAAGCACAACAAACACACACACACACACACACATCACACACAAAAGAAACAAAAAATAAATAAAAACAGTTGCTGGCTGCAAAAGGTGCATGCAACCTGAGCTGATTACGTCGCAGACCCTCAGCAAAAAAGGATTCCCTTTTTTAAACAATGGCAAATATTTGATACATTTTTCAGAGTACCTTTATAAAGGATATCATAATAATAATAACAATAATTATTATGTGTGGGAGAGTGTTTTTTATATAGTGCAAAGTGTATTTTAAAGGGGCTTTTTACAGCTCTAACTAAATAAATATTGTGACAATTGAGACAAACCATTTTAAGACTTGATTGAAACACTGAAATCACTTGTCAAATATCTGACTAAAATATATAAATAAACTATATATGACAATGAGTATATATATAGAGACTATATATACAGAGTGTTGCTATATTTGTGAGACTACCTTTTTTCAATGGAAATATATAAAATCAAATATTGATTGTGGTTTTTCTAGAAGGGGTTTTTATAGATAACTAAAATACTTAAGGGAATCAGCAATTATTTATGAAGAAATAAATAACATTGAGTAAAAAGGCCAATAACTGAGAGATCATTAAAATATAACTTAATGATTGATTCATGATTTTTTGGGTTTTTTCTTCGAGTGAAATGAAGTGTTTTTTAAAAGGTTTCCAAATAAGATACTGAAGAGGCTACAAAACAATTATAAATAAATTAAATAAGTAGTCAATATCGAACCATGGCCAAACAATTTGAAGACTCAGTTAAAATAATGTGCAGCTCACTAAAATCACTTGCCAAATATCTGAGTAGGTTAGTAATTATATACATAGACTATATGTCAAGGATATTATTATATATAAGAGTCTACCTTTTAGCAGAATTATAAATAATTAATAGTTAATTAATAGTTAATTACGCACATAGCGTTGCTTTTTGATTAGTTTTAATAGAGCAAATTAGCTGATCAAAATTGATTGTGTAAAAAATATTTAGGATTTATCTTGTATATTAAATGATAAATTAATAAAGCTGAGTACAATTATAAGTTAAATTTTGTGTGTCTTTGTTTAAGTAAGGAATATGGATGAAGTCCTTAGATGAACTATTAAAAATGTCGCAGAACTATTAAATGGATTATGGATTATACAATTAAATGATATATTGAACGCTTAAAAAATGTTATTCCTTTCAGTAAAATCTTGATATGAATTGTTTATAAATGTTACTCTCATTTACTGTTATATATAAAGTATTAACAAATGTGGCTCATATAGTAAAATCAGTATATAAATGAACTAATTTGAGCTCAATTAAAGAGCAGTTGGTCTAAATATATATTAAATATTAATTATGTTATATTATAATACAAATTAGCAATTTTAATATAATGTAAAATAATTAATATTTAATATATATTGACTATTGTAATATAATATAATGTAATTGATTTAGTATAATATAATATAAATAATATTTATTATATGTGGATTAGCTGCTCTCTAAAATCTTTTCTTAAATTGTTCCTGCCTAAGTTGCCCCTTTTCAAGTAGAGTGTTGCATGAGTGTGTGTGTTCTGTGTGTGTGTGTTTGTGTGTGTGTGTGGGTCTCATAGGTGTTTATTTTCAAAAACTGATGCAGTAGGTGATTAAAGAACGAGCTGAGCTGAGCTGAGCTGAGCATTGAGTGTTGAGTGTTGAACGTTGAACGTTGCTTGTGGCAACTCAAAACAAAAAAGGTTTCTCAGCTCTCAGTTCTCGAAGCGTAGGCGGAGGTAATGAAAATGAAAATTGGAAATCCGATGCCGCCACAAAAGAAACGATCGTTTCTTGAGTGTGTGTGATATTTACTGATATGGTCTATATATATATGTATGTATATATATATATATATATGTGTGCATATATATATGTATTTGTGTTTAAGGTGAATTTTTCGTTGATCGTCGATCGCTGCTCGCATTGGAAGACCACACAAAAGCCGCTAGAAAATGGCGGCATTTCCAGCTAACTGGAACTGGAATCGAGTAGAATTGAATTGAATCTGAGAGCGACGCTTTTGCATTTTGGCGCGCTTTGTTTAACTTGAATGAATATTGAATAAACACACAACACACACACACACACACACACACGCAGACAGAGTTCAATTGCATTTTTTAAGTGCTGATAATGCAAAAAAGTTTGATTTTTGATTGGCTGACTTTGGATGAGTCATCTTTGCGGGGGGAGGGGTAAACTTACACTGCATGGAGAAGGCTGTAGAAGATGGCATACTCTGCTGTATTATTATGTTATCCTCTTGGCCAAAACAACGTGTAGACGATGGCGCCAAACAGGACAACATTGGAATGCTTTTTTTTCTCTGCTTACGCTTTTTTTAATATAATTTTTATTTATATTTGTATTATTTCACAGTAGTTTGTGTTTGGTTGGAGTTTGTTGTTTGTTGTTTATGTAGTATTTAAGCACACACGTTTAGCGGCCATTTGGGCTGGTTTTTTAAATTTATTTTTATTTGTATATATTTTTTAAATATTATTTTTATATTTGCTAAAACATTTTGTGCACTTTTTGTGTTTTGTTTTTGAGCACTTTGCGCGTTTGTTGTTATTTATTTATTATTATTTTTGTTATTTATTTATGTATTTTTATTCATATTTTCTTTGTTACTTCACGCGTTCAACTGCAAAACGAATTTTTTGTCGAAGACTCGATAGAAATTTGTTGTGTTGTTGTTGGCTTTTTTTCGCTCAGTGTGCGCTGTGTGTGTGGGAGCAGCGCGTGTGCGGCCGACGCGACGTCTAAAATTCAACTAACGCTTTCTGTTGATTTCTGTTTGCTACGTTGGCCTCAGCTTCCACACACACACACACTCGTACACAGAAACACACACAGGCACACATAACAAATGTTCGCTCTCTCATTCGCTTGCTCGCTCTCGCTCTCACTCTCGCGTTCGCTTGCTCTCTCTCACACAGAAGAGATTTGCTGTATGTGTGTGTGTGTCACCCATACACCAATAACAGTCAGTCAGCAACGGCCAACGTGTAACGGTGCGCACCGTCTGTGCCTGTGTCAGTGTGCATGTGTGTGTGCGTGCGTGCGCTGCCGAGGTGATATGCTGGCAGCCGCAGCAGCAGCAGCAGCGTCGTCCTCGTCTACACCCCCATTCCCTGTTACTGCTAGCAGTGTATATGTGTGTGTTTGTGTGCTGCGACGCTCTCCAATTGGAGAGAGTGATTTGATGGTTAACAGTTGGCTGTTAACATGCCTGGGGATGTGCCTTTTATCGTATGCTGTTGGGGCGCTGTTACTGTTCGACTGATGTTCTCAACATGCCGCTTACGTTACGATATTGCCGTGCGACGTAAGCGCTTTACGTTTTGGCTTCTCTGTTAAATAAAATAAAATGCTAAATTATATATATATATATATATATAATAAAATAATTTTGAATAATTTCTGCTGATTTGATTGTTTATTAAAATTGTAGTTTTTAGCAAATCATTCAAATTAATTAATTTCTCAATTTAAATATTTGTTGTTATTGTATTTTTCTCGGAATATTGTTATTATAATTATTTCCACAAAGTCGATAGTTTTATTTTTCTTATTCTTTATTATTCTTGAGTTTATTATTTAAATAATTTCATAGTTGCAATAAACAATTTTTAATTCCGGATTTCTCAACTCCGAATTCTTGGTAATAATTGTAATTGCAAGTTTTCTAAGTGCATTGGATATAAATCCCATAAATCCCCAATTCCTTTGTAGTTCTTTGTAGACAAAACTTGATTTTTCTACAGAATTCAGCCAGATTTTTCAAATCAATAAAGCCAAATCATTTGCACTTGGGTTGCTTTCTTAAAGATCTTTCGTTGGTTGTTTTCATATGCAAGTTGTGTGTTTAGAAATGCCAGCTTTTTTTGTTGAGATTCTTGCAACACATTTGACACTTGCTGTTGTTTTGACGTTGACACGAAGCAAAAGTTCTTGAGAATGTCAAAAAACCAAGAGAGAAGTTGTACTTCATGCAAAGCGAAGTTGGAATACGCTTTTTCTCACTTTAACTATATTTTATAGTTATTCGATTTGCTTAATTTTGCCTGAGCTGCTCTCTAGAAACAAAAGCAACATTTGTGGCAAGTTTCAGCAAGATTGAATTAAATTTGACCGAGTTCGCATAGTTAGGAGCCACTCAGAAATTGCCAAACGCAGTAAATTAAATGAAGTATTAAGTATATGGTTATATAGACTATATGTATAATTAATATGCAATTCATAATACACTTTCCAAGTGTATATTAACACTTGAGAAAAACGCATCAAAAATCATAAACAAAAAAATTGCCTAACAAATTTGGTTTTCAAGTCTTTCAATCAACAAGTTGAAAGCAGAAATCAAAGCCAAAATCCTGGAAAAAATATTGCGTAGTCAACACATACACACACACACATACACACAAACACGCACACACTAACAGCGCAGTCAACAACATAATAAACAATTTGTACATTAATTTTTAATGCGCTTAACATGTGTTCACTCTTTCTCTCTCTCTCTCTCTCTCTCTCTCTCTCTCTCTCTCTCTCTCGCTCACACACACATGTGCATTTTGGTGTTTGTGTGCGTGTAAAAAGGTGGAGCTTCCAATAAATTTACTCACACGACGTTGACGCGAGCAGCAGCAGCAGCAGCGCTCGCTTTGCCGTTTTCTGTTATTATTTCTTTTTTTCTTTTGTTGCTGTTACACTTTGTATGTTAATTAATTTACGCTCTTCTGTCTGTCTCTCTGTCTGTGTGTCTGTGTGTCTGTGTGTGTGTGTGTGTGTGCTAATGAGCGGAGGTGTTTTGTGTGTTGCTGTTCGTCGTCGCTAGGTGCGCGCTGCGCTCATTTGGCATTGGTCGCTTTTGCACCTGTTGACGCCTCTCATTGGCTGAGTGCCGCCGCTAAAAAGCACTGGGCAGCCATTGAATGTGCTTCCCATTGGAAGACTAAGACGCCAACGAAAAGTTGAAAAAGTGTTAAAACTGAACAAAATTGGGTATGTTTTAAATTTGAAAGTGTGGAAAACATTATTTGCATGCTTAAAATAAAGTCGCCTAAATTTTATTTTAATAAAAATTTAATTTACAGTTTTGCTGCTTTCTCTGATGATTATTTACATATAAACATGAACCACAAACCATAAGTAAAACACACTTTTTTTTGTTTCTAAGTTACAACTTAATTTATGAAGAAACCGGTTTGTCTTTTTTAATATTATTGAAGGCCATTTTAGATATGTACATACTTTATAAAAATAAATATAATAGGTTACAATAAGTTACTGAAAGTCCTAAATGAAACTTCTCGAAACTTTAAGGAACAAGTATTTTACTTGTTTTAAATATATGTTAAGACTGCGAGAAATTTGCAGAGACACAAAGAAATCAAAGTACTCATCAATAGTATATACATGTATATAAATATATAGTTTCGGAAGAAAAAATAGTATTATCATTAAAATCAATTTTGAAAATTTGAATAGAAAAGTATTGTAATGAATTAATATACATGTTTATTTAAATGCAAACATTAATATTTAGTTGGCATTATTATTGCTTGTAACTAAGTTAATTTAATATATTTACGTACATATATATTTATTCTGTATCAGCGAAAAGTACACGATTTAAAAATAAATCATCGCACTTTAAAATGGGAATTTTTTATTGCTGAGTCAAAGGAAATCCCATAAGATTTAAATACATTTTTTGATATCATTAAATTTGTACTTTTAGCTTCATTTTTTCAGCGAAATTTAATGTAAAAAACGAGCCGATAAATTTAATTACTTAATTTTGAATTTTAGAATGGATTTTCTTTCTTAAATGAGCATTTGCATTTCTACTTTTTAGAAATGCATTTATTAATAATAGAAAATATTTATAAAGAATAGAAAACAAACAAATTTTTGGAAAATATATATGCTTAGAAATTCTTGCTAAAAACAAGAATAAACTTGCTAGTTTTTAGATCAATTTTTTATTCTAAGGGCACATAGATTGAAGTATTCCTGAGTAAGTTGTTTTTTTTTTTTAAATTATATTATTATTAAACAAACAGAAATATGTTTTTTCAGAGTGTAGCAGACGAACTTTGCTGGCTTACTTTATTTTCGGCTATCCCGCATTAGTTGTACCAACCATTCTACTGTTCCCATAACACACACACACACACACACACACACACACTCGGACACCCAGTGCGCACCGTGAGAATGACTTCAGAGAGTACCTTCATATATTGAGTGCTCTTAATTTAAATTGGATTTGTCGATCGACAATAATTATTTTGCTGCTTTCTGCTTTTTTGGTATTTGCTTGATTTGCAATTGCAAATGCAGTTTTCCTTTATTGCGTCAAATCGTCAAGTCGTCGTCAGCTGCTTAAGCTGCGGGGCCCACATAAAATGTGCCTGTTTCGACTGACGTCATCGATTGCTGTAAGGGAGCAGCGAAGGGAAAGTGATAGGGAGAGGGAGGGGCAGGGGTGCGCGGGAAGCCGCGACGATTGCTGTCATTAACTTTGCCGTTAAGCAATCAATTTATTTCACTTTATAATTACGGATAACCTAAAAGTGAGCAGCATTCTAACCCCCTACCCCCTGCATCCCCTCTACACCCTGCACCCCTACAAGGCGGGGCTTCGTTGTGGGAAAAAAACCAATTCCAATCCTTTTTGAAGAGGTGACCCCCAAAAACATAAGGGCTCAAGACTTCACACATTACACTAAATATATATATATATATATATATATATATATATATATATATGTGTGTGTGTGTGTGGTGTGTTCATCCATAGATATCTTCATTTCTAAACATTTTCAATTGCGGGCGGTTTTTGGTTCTTCTGGGATATTGAATTGCGTTCATGTTTTTCTCGTTTCTCGTTTCGACAATTTTTAATTAGCAGTAAACTTTGGCGCGTCAAAAGAAATAGAGAATGGGAAGAAAAAGTAGAAGAAATGTAAGTAAAATTGCTCTATGTGGGAGCATGCTAGAGAACGAGATACTCTGTACTGCTCAATAATAATATATAAATATATATATAGATATAGAAATATATATATATACAGATATAGATATATGAAGCATCGCCGAGCCCAATTCTATATTTTCTTGATCAGCATCAATGGTCGAGTCGCGCATCTCGTAAATACTCCTTTTACAATTTTAGTAAAGAGGGTATTCGAAAAAGAGAACCGAAACCGAAACGGAATCGAAACTGAACCGAAATAAATACTTTACTCTAAAAGTATATATACATATATATATATATATATATATGAGTGTGTGTATTAGTGTTAGCAGTGGTGCTGCTGATGGTGTTGTTTGGTGGTTTTACATTGGGGTCGATCGGCTCTAAATCTCAAGTGTTGCTTGTTGGCTGCAGCAGTCGCAGTCGGCGTCGCAGTCGATTTTGGCATTTTTGTCTGCTTCGGCTTCTGCTCATTTCATTTAACACTTTATGTGAC